AGCCAAGGTTTGGAGGCCCCTCAGCCTTGTACATTAATCCCAGCTGCCCTAGTCCCATCCAGTGGCCACCAGGGAATTTGAGAGTTGAGATCCTTGAATATTTCATCAGCACTTCAGCCTCCAGTTGACGAAGCATCCAACTTACAGCTCATGGATAATTTATGACTCTGGCAGAAAACCTGGATGTAGTGAGGGGGAAGGGCAGGCAGGGAGAGTGGGGGTTGGTGAACCCTGGACCTGGGCTGTTGATGATGGTGCCTGAGAAGCCAGCTCCATCCAAAGTATGTTTTGGGGGCAGGAGAAGAGCACCAAGGCCAGGGACATTTCCATTTTTGAGCATATCAAGGTATTACCAAAAAAAATGGGTTATCAAAAGAATTATGTCTAAAAAAAATTGGAAAGGTTTATTCGCTCAGTTGTGTCAGATTCTATGCAACTCCATGGACTGTAACTTGCCAGGCTCTTCTGTTCATGGAATTCTTCAGGCCAGAATACTGGAGTGGGTGTCCATTCCCTTCTCCAGGGGATCTTCCTGACCAAGGGATCGAACGCAGGTCTACCTACACTGTAGGCAGATTCTTTGCCATCTGAGCCACCAGGGAAACCCAAAAGGTTAAAATTATGTGATAAGCATTTCATGGTTTGATTTCTGTCTCTGTAACTGTGTACATAACCTCTTTTGGCGACAACAAAAAATTTTAATGAGATGTCCTTCATGGCTGTGAAGCCTCCAAAAGCCCCCTGCCCCCCACATCCACTTGGGGCCAGGGAAGGAGACCAGACTCCCTTCAGATAGATTGACTGAGCCTCACTTCTTCCCTGGTGGCTCAGGTGGGAAAGCTTCTGCCTGCAGGAGACCTGGGTTTGATTCCTGGGTCGAGAAGATCCCCTGGGGGAAGGAAATGGCAACCCACTCCAGTACTCTTGCCTAGAAAATCCCATGGATGGAGGAGCCTGGTAGGCTACAGTTCATGGGGTTGCAAAGAGTTGGACACAACTGAGTGACTTCACTTTCACTTCTTCTTAGCCTCTTCCTGCAGGAAAGCCATCAGGATTTAGTCAAATGCTCAAAACAAAAGGAAGGAATTTCAAATGGTCACCACTTATCTTGCTCCAGGAATATAACGTAGCACTCTTGTTAAAGGAGGACTGAAAAAAGGACTCAAAACAGAAGATGTCAAGTTCTCCTGGCCTCTTCTTTACCAAAGGACCTACCACAGTGAGTTCTTCTGCAGATACAGAAGATCAGGTATACAAGGCAGGAAGGGGTAAGCAAGCTGCCATGTCCTCCTCTTACCTCAGTTTCTCCACCTGAGTCATGGAAATGAGTGGTGCTCCCAACCAAAGGCTGTTTGGGGGTCAGATGAGATGCTATCCAGGTACTCCGGCGCCAGCTGGGACCCAGGCAGGCAGTCATTATGGGGTGATGTTATGGGGTGATGTGTCCAGTTTATATTCCTAATCCCCAAGCCATCTTGGAGTTTGATCATGTGGTCCTGGGAGCCCAATCTAGTCTCCCTGGGGCTCCGTTTCCTCCATCCAGGAAATAGGGGTCATCTGCTGGAGCCATGAAGGCCTCTGAGTGGGGAAGCTGCGTGGGGCTTGGACCCGGCAGCTGTCAGGGCTCCCCCAGTGAGGTTCTGCAGCTGCCTCCAGTGCCAACTGGATACAGCCTTTGACAAAGGAAGGGGTCATTCTTTGTCCCCAGGGGAACCCTACTCTCCCAGAGAAAGGGAACAGTAGGGTGAGACTTCAACAGCTATTTCTCAAACCTAAGCAGGGAATTTTTTCCATTGGAATTTACAAGAATTTGGGGGGATCCCATGGGACTCCCCCACCCCACCCCCACTGACCCTGGCCATCATTTCTCCGGATTCAAAAAGAGGCTGGTCTAAATGACCCCGAGCTTCCCTGGATAGCGCTAGTGGTAAAGAATCCTCCTGCATGTTTGATCCCTGGGTCAGGAAGGTCTTTTGGAGGAGGAAACGGCAACCCACTCCAATATTCTTGATTGGAAAATCCCAGAGATAGAGGAGCACAGGGTGCAGTCCAGGTGGTCACAGAGTTGGCCATGATTGAGGGACTGAGCACACACACTCTCTAAGTGATCCCAGCAAGTCTGTGTGATGATCCCAGGCCCACTAACATTTGGTCCAATCTAGGGAGCTGCCCATGGGAGGTGGGACCCAGCTATGGAATCAGGCTCAAGAGTGAGGCTGGATGGTCTACTTCCTCCCCTTCCTCCCTTCCTCCCTACCCCTCTCTCCTTTCCTCTCTCCCTTCTGGAACTCTCTGCCTCCCTCAGCTGACTACTTAAAGAGACAGAGACCAGAGCGTTCCTTCTCTCGCTCCCTTCTCTGAGCAACATGGATTTAGGGAGAAAAGTTTCAAACCCAGCTCAGTCACCCCTCACCCAGAGGGATCTTGGGCAGGTTGCTTCTCATTCTTCAGCCTCACCTACGGCAGAAGGGAATTGATATCTATGTTGCAAGACTTTTTTTTTTTGTATGTCCTGCATCTTCATTGCTGTGCGGGCTTTCTCTAGTTGCAGTGCGCTACTCTTCACCGCAGTGCTCAGCCTTCTCACTGGTTGGTTTCCCTTGTTTTGGAGCACCAGCTCTAGGGCACAGGCTCAGGAGTTTTGGCACAGAGATTAGTTGTTCTGTGGCAGGTAAGATCTTCCTGGACAAGGAATTGAACCTGTGACTCGCAGCCAGATTCTTTACCGCTGAGCCACCAGGGAAGCCCCTGCAAGACTGTTCTGAGGCTGTAAAGAACTTGCCAGGAGTCAGGCACACAGTATACATTTGATACACTGCAGCAGTGATTCTTCAGGATGGGGGCTTTCTGGGTCCAGGACACCTCTGTGGCATCTGAGTCTGGCCCTATTGTGTGAGGTCGTCATCCCCACTGCCCTTTTGGCTGAGTCTCTAACCGTCTAGCCACTATGCTATGCATGGTAGGACGGCTGAAATGCCCGGCTGGGGAGTTGGGGGCGGGGTAAGGAAGGGAGGTAGAGACTTGGAGGAGGCAAGGGCAGGGCGTCTGGGCTGGGTGGGGTTGGGAGAATGAACTGCAGGGCCCCAGAGGGCCCACGCTGGGACTCACTGGAACTCGGTCTCACCGGTTTGGGAAGCTGGCTGGGCAATGGGGAGACGCTGACATCAGAGAGAGGTGGGAGGGGCTGGTGGCTGCCTGGGATGCAGAAGCTGAGTAAGGCCCCCTGGAAGGGCAGGGCCTGGGCTAACGCAGGGATGGGGGTGAATGCTTCGAGAGGCGCGGCTTTCTGCTATCAGGGGACACACGTACACAACCCCTCATCCTCAGACGCCACACTTCGATGCACACGGACACACATATATCAACACACTTTTTAAACTTCATTGCCCCCCTCCCCCCTCCCGGTTCCCCTGATCCTCTCACCTTTTCTGTTTTTCCATCTCATTTATCTTAGCCAGATAACTCATTTGTGTAACATTTATTGTTTATTACCTGTCTCCCCGCAGGGATGCAAGCTTCACGAAGGCAGGGTGCTTGGCTGGCTTTGACCACTATTATATATGCTTAGCACCTACGGCGTATCCAGCATACAGTAGGTGCTCAACAAATACGTGATGAGGGGGCGAACAAACCTTGAACAACCGTCGCGAATGCACGCCCCTTCAGGGACGCATGCGCAAACTCGACCGCCCTCAAGCTGCCACGGACACTCTCAGACACGTGCATACAGGCACACGCTCACACTAACACAACACACAAGGACACAGAACTTCTCGCTGTAGCCACACAGGCACTTTCAGACTCACACCCAGCCCTCTGGATTCCAGAGCTAGTAGTCACGCAGGCACGCTCCAGCTCGTCCCAGCTCCCCACCCTCCGCTGGGCCAGCCCCTCCCAGAAACAGGGGGCGGGGTCTCGGTGGAAGCTGACAACACAGCAGCTTGAGAGGGTGGGGTGGAGCGGGGCCGCCCTGGCACCTGGGAGCTCTCTGGAGACGCTGCCACTGCAGACTCACCTATGGGAGGGAAGAGTGAGATCACCGGCGCCCCCAGCTTTGACCCCGCCCAAGCTCCAGACTCAGACTCTGGTCTTCCTACCCTCATCTTCACCAAAGGCCCAGGAGAAGGGCATGCAGTGGGGCAGGGAATCCTCCTGGGCACCGAGATGGGCAGGAACCTAGGCCAGGTCACCTGGCACATCTGGGCAGGGGTGTAGAGGCCGAGAACCGGGCTTACCAGCTTCAGCTCCACCCTCCAGTAGGAGGAGAAAGCTCTTCCACCACCCTGCCCCTGGGAGACATGGGCAGTGGGGCCGTGTCACCTAGCTGGCCGCAGTCTAGGGTCTCTCCCCAGAGAGACCCCCTATTGCCCCCACGTCCCTGCTCTGGAACATGGAAACATGGATGGGTGGAGATACTGGTAAAGCATAGGGCTGGGTGGTAGGCACCTCCAGATGCTCTGCCCACCGCCCACCCCCCCAGTCAATGCAAGTTTGGGCAACACGGTCTGGCAGCCCCACTGCCACCACGAAGTCTCATGTTATCAAGCCACGTTCCTAGGGCTCCTCTGGCCACTGAGAGGGCAAGTTCCCTTCGGTGTGAGCAGAGAGGGCTGGACAGGGCATGCTTGCTCTAGCTCTAAGGAACCTGGGTCAGTAAAAGCTTGGAAAGTAAAAACCGGAAGTAAATGTCCTTGGCCCCTTCCCCATACTCTCTGAGGGAAGTGATGCTGAACTAGGAAAATACCAGACATCCCACCTTAGGTATCTGAAACGGGCATCTTCCCAGGATTCACGCAGAACTTCATCCTTACGCCCCCTAGCGGCAGATTGCAGTCGCAGGCTGATGCTCCTGGCAGTCAAAAACACCCAGGGTCCATAGAGGCCAAATTATGGCCCCTCACCTGTCTCCATGTATATTGATGAGGTGAGATGGGTGCAGAGGGGGGAGGGAAGGACCTGCACCGTTACCACTCCGCCCAGTGAAATCTGGACCCTAATTCTGTGATTCATTCAACAAGAAATGTTTATTGAGCACCCACTGCCAGTGTGCCAGGAACCAACCGCGGGACTCCCGGTCCAGTGCTCTTCATGATGCCAGTTGCCCCTCTGCTGTGTGTGCATTTCAGGCTGAGACCCAACTCGGGAGAGCTGGAATCTTCTCCAGGAGACTGTCCCCACTGGGTGGGGAGGACACTGGGAGGAGGGCAGGCCTTCAGCAGCTGCAGCACCACCATCCTGTGGTCCAGAGACCCAGAGAGGAGGCAGGAGGGGTCTGGGGAGCAGTGCTCACAGGTGGGACAGGATGGGGCCTGGTCAGCTCTGTCCATTTTACATGTTTAATAAATAGTTCTTGTTGGACCCAGGCTTCCCAAGCTCTTGAGGGGGGTAGGGGGGCCTCTTATGGTAATTCAGGCTCTGGCTCTGAAAATGAAATGAGAGGGCATTGGGGTTAGCCTTCCCATCGTCAACAGGCATCTGGGTGCTGTCCTGGGGAGAGGTAGTGCAGGCAGGAGAGAGGGTCCCCGGGAGCAGGTCTCAGCTGGTTCCTGCTCCAGGAAGGATGCTCCCCCACCCCTCAACCAGGTGGGACAGGGGTTGCTAACAGGCCAGAAGCCCCCCAAAGGAGGAGTGCCAACACCCTCTGCAGTCCAGTGCTCAGAGCCTTCTGTCCCTCACCTCCAGCCCAGGCTGCACCCCCACCCGTCCACCAGGACTAGTCACTGACCAGCCTCAGCCTCGTCGCCCTTGGCATCTGGCTCCTGCCACCAGTCAGCATAGATGCTCTCCTCGTAGTCGCCCTCCCCTTCAAACTCAGCATCAGATGGGGGCTTCTCAGGCTCCATGGGTGGTTCTGTCTCCTCCAGCTCCATCTAGAGCAGCCCAGGATGAGTGGATAAACCAGGTCACAACAGGCACAAACCCAGATCAGCTCCCTTCCTGGCCAAGGGGCCCTCCCATCCCGTCTCAGTCCCAACCCCCCACCCTTCCCAGCTTCACTCAAGATCTCACACAGGAATGACTTGAGGGTTTCTCCCAAAGTCCTGATCCCAAGCTGCCCCCTCCCTGAACTGATGCATGAGCTCCACCGGCAGAGCTTTAGGGTTAGTGGAAGCATCTCCCTCTCCACAACCCACCTTTTAAGCATAAATACTTAGGCAATACTGCTTGTCTGTGAATACTGTCTGCTCAGGCTGTTTTGAAGCCAGGAATGCCTTTACTCCCCTGTGCTCTTGTTTATCCCTCCAACACCAGGCATNCTCTCCACAACCCACCTTTTAAGCATAAATACTTAGGCAATACTGCTTGTCTGTGAATACTGTCTGCTCAGGCTGTTTTGAAGCCAGGAATGCCTTTACTCCCCTGTGCTCTTGTTTATCCCTCCAACACCAGGCATCAGCTCCAGGATGTGGCCCTTGCTGCTGATGCTGGGTTGGGAGTGCCCCGAGCATCCAGGGCCCCAAGCTGACCTCTCTCATTGCACTACACTAACTGAGCTGCTTAGGCGAGGGGCTGTGCCTTTCGGCCCCAGTCACAAAGTCTGACAAACAGCAGGCAATAAATAACAGTAGCATGTCAGCATGCTAGTAGCTACTAGCTACATGTTGCTAGTAGCAAAATGGCTACTAGCCCCTAAGCACCTACCACGTGCTAGCTGTACACTGAATGCCTCACATCCTGGATCTCATTTAATCCTCACCACAGTGGTATGAGATGGGCATTATTCTCCCCATTCAATGAATGAAGAAATGGAAATTTGAGGGTTACTTAAGCCTGGCCTGGAGGCTGCCCAACTGGGATATGGTGGAGCCAAGTCTGGTGAGCACCAAAGCCTGAGGACTCACGATGCAGACCCAGCCCCCTGTTTGATGAGGGGTGGGGGGCATGGGCACATGAACAGTAGAGAGGATGGATGAATAAGTACTGGGCAGCAACGTCTCAGAATTCAGACTCTCAAACCCTCATTTAGAATCAATGTGATAACACACTGGGGGGTCTTTCCTTCCTGGTGTACTGTGTTCATTCATTCATTCATTCAGTGGTTCATTCAGATTCAGTTTCTGAGAACCAGCCGTGTGCTGGGTGCTGTGGGAGGACTGGGAATAAGCTAACCCCATGTCCTGGAGCACAGTTCTCTAGGAGACTGGCTGGAGAAAGGAGCAGAGTGAGACAGATGAGGGCTGCAAATAACTCTGGTCCAGGGAGGCATAGAGGGTTAGAATGGCCACAGCAAACCCAGAAGACAGAGCCAGGACATGCAGCGAAGGCTTTCTGGAGGAGGCACCATCAGATCTGGGTCCAGGAGGAGCAAGATTCAGACATGTAGAGAAGTGGGGCATGAGAACATGGAGCAGGGAGAGAAAGGCAGGTGTAAACAAGGCACAGGTGAAACGCCCCTGCCTCACAACAGCGGACTGCCAGGAGCTGTGGCTGAGCTTTGGCACAGTGGCCCACCAGGCCTGTGGGGCAAAGGCCGCCTTACCTCATCATCTGACTGCAGGTACATGTGTGCGAAGTCTAGCAGCTCTCGGAGCTCAGCTGTCTGGTTGTGGTAGAGTCTGGCCTCCTGGGAGGAGGGAAGAAAAACAGGTGAGCCAGGCCTCCTGCTGCCAGATGGTGGAGGGGCCAGGGCTCCTAGACTCTGCTAGAGTCCTCTGGTCCTTTTCCAGCTCCAGGAGCAGGAAACAGGTGTCAGTTTACATGCTGATCAAAAAACTGCAGTTGCTTGATGCTGGGTTAAGAAGGATTCTGAGGGCTCAGTGAGAAAGAGCGCCTTAATCAATTAGCAATGTCTGCCACTGACAAGGAAACCGAGAGGTATTTTTGCAAGTCATGCCCAGACTCCCAAGGGCTTTCCTCAGGTGGTTCAGGTTAGGAGGTCCCTGGGGACGAAGGGCAAAGGCGAGCAGTGAGAGTGGGGAGGGTGGTGAGGTTAGAGGCAATGACAGACAGATACTTTTTACCTCCCACATCCCAGGTGCTGTGCTGAAGAGGTAGGCTGGACCAGTAGGCTGGACCACCCCCATTTTGCAGGTGAGGCAGCCGATTCAGAAAAGGTCGGTAATGTGGGACTTCCCTGGTGGTCCAGTGGCTAAGACTCCATGCTTCCCATACAGGGGGCCCAGATTTGATCCCTGGTCAGGGAACTAGATCCCACATGCCGCAATTAAGAGTTCATATGCCACCACTAAAGATCCCACATTCCACAACCAAGACTCGGCGCAGCCAAATAAATAAGTTAAAAAAAAAATCAGTAGTGTTCTCAGGACCACACAGTTGGTTGGTCTGAACCTAAGACTCCAACCACAACCCAAATTCTTTCTTTTTATTTCTCATCCTGCCATTGGAGTAAGCCAGGAATTTTAAAAAATCAAATCATAGGTTCTGAGAACGCCATGGCGATGCCCACCTCCCGGGGCTGGAAGTCCTCCTCCTCCAGGCCCCAGCGGGCCCTGTGGAAGCGGTAATACACCAGGTTCTGCTGCATGACATTATCTTCCGGGTCGAAGAGCATGTAGCTGGCGGCACTGCGGGCAGCCTGGCGCACGTCATTCACTGCAGGTAGAACAAGAGTGAGGAGTGGCCCCTGGCACATCCCCCTCCTTCAGGGATGACCCTCACCTAACCTGTCCCCAGCTCCCGATTTAGTCCAGTGCCCCTGGATCCCCAGCTGCCTCCCAGAATATCCTACTCAATAACAACACAAGCTAGAGTGTATTGAGCAACTGCCCGATGCCCTGTGTAACTCACTTAAGCCTCACTGTTATTCTCATCCCCATATTACAGACAAGAAATCCGAAGCACAGAGAGGTTAGGTAAACTGGTCAAGTTCACAGTTGGAAAATGAAGGCAATGGGGAATCAGAGGTTGTTGTCCCAGCCTCCAATCTCTTTGCCAACAGGACCCCAGAGGGTCTCTTGGCCCCTTGTTCTTCAGCTCTTCCTCTCCAACTCCAGCCTGTCTGAATTTGGGCATCTCTGAGTTGCAGACACCCTGGAGACTGACCTTCTTAGCCTCAGCTGATGCCAAAATCTCCCTCAAGTGAGGAGAGCCTTAAGCCCTGGTGCTACTTTTTATTAGCCAGGTGACTGACTCATGGCCCCTTGCCCACAGTGAGCCTTGGCTTCCTCATCTGAAAAATGGGTCCAGTAACATCAGCTACTGGTGGTTTGTGAGAGGATCCAGTGAGATAAACAGATGTGGCAGGGCTCTGTAAACTGTCCAGTGCTGTGCAGTTGTTGACTATCTAGTCCTTCATCTAAGAGACCCTCGAATTCTCCCCAGAGAATTCTGTTCTCTGTTCTCCCAGGCTCTCTGTTCCTCCCTGCCAGCTTCTCACCTGCCCCCACCACCCTCCCATCACCAGGGATCCTCAATTCTGACTCGGTTTCGCTCCTAGTGCAGTGCTTCCCCTCACCCCTAGCCCACTGGGAGGCTCACATTTGTAGTAGGCAAACTGCAGGTAGTGATACATGGTGGCCACGAACTTCTCCACGAAAAAGCCGCCCACATTGGGGGTCAAGTTGGCCTCACAGTCCACCTTACACTGCAGGGATTCTGCAAAGAGATCTTTGGGGGTGGGGGGGAGGCAGCAGTGAGGAGCTGGTGTGCTGAACACCAGATGGGATGACAGAGATGACCGCCAACCCCAGCTCTGTCCGCTGATGTCACAAGACCGTAAAGTGACAAGAGATGCTGAGGAAGACTGCTGTGGACTGGGCTGACTTACCACGCCCACAGCTGACCTCCACCCTAAAGCCACAGGAAGCCAGGGCTCTCTGGAAGAATGGCAGGTGAGGTTTGGAGGTGGGACTAAAGCCCAAATACAGAAGCTCAGGACAGTCCTTTCTGCCCTTGCTGATAGACTCCACCTTTAGGGATCCCCAGACCAGCTGTATTTCTGGCCCTGAACTGCTTTCCACACACCCCCGCTAGGCTGATTCCCACCTTGGCACCTTTGTACCTACGTTGCCCTCTGTCTGGAAGGTCCATGGACCCACCCTCCCCAGATCCTTTCGGGAAGTCACTCCGTGCTACACCCGGCCTTGGACACTCCCCGCTGTGTCTTCTGTACCCAGGGTGGCAGGTGTCCTGTTAGCCTCTCTCAGGCAACTGAAGGCTCTGAGGGTCCGGATAACAACTTATGCCTGTCTGCCCCCAAGCGCTTAAGAAAGTGTTAGCCACTCCGTTGTGTCTGACTTTTTATAACTCCATGGACTGAAACCCTCCAGGCTCCTCTGTCCATGGAATTCTCCAGGCAAGAATACAGGAGTAGTGGGTTGCCATTTCCTCCTCCAGGAGATCTTCCCAACCCAGGGATCGAACCCGGGTCTCCTGCTTTGCAGGCAGATTCTTTACCGTCTGAGCCGCCAGGGAAGCCCTAAGCACTTAGGAGGCCTCTATAAATGCGTGTGGAATGAATATTTGTGTCAAGGGGCCTCAGGAGTTCTGGGCCCTGTGGGTGTGAGGGATGCCCACTGGGGTCTGAGTGGGATGTACCTGCTATGGCTGGGTAGAAGTCCTTGAAATCCACCTGCTCGTGGGCCCCCTCGCAGCCAGCCAGACAGCGGGCAAAGACAGCCAGGTACTCAGCCAGGGCCCGCTCCATGTCCTCGGTGCTCCCGCGGAAATCTCCGCTGTTGTAGAGCTTCACAGCCCGGAGGAACACCGCCTGGAGGGAGGGGACGTGCAGGGGGGTCAAGGGGATTCCAACCCTCCCCCTCCTCCACTGGCGCTAAGCCGGGACGCAACTCGGGACTCAAGGAGTTACGTCAGGGCCGGTCCTACCCCCGACATCCCACCTCGTAGGGCTGGGCCTCCAAGTCTGTGAGAGGCTCGTCGGCGGCGTCCAGAAGCCCGCGATAGTAGCTGAGATACTTGGCGGTGAGCTCGTGCTTAGGGTTCCTCTGGAGGAAGGTGTAGGCCGCGGCCACAGCCTTCTCCAGCCGGTTAGCCTGCGGGGTGGGGACCGAGCGGGTCAGCAGAGCCGGAGTCCGCCGCCCGAAGCGCGCGCGAGGGATCGGCGGTCGGGCTGCTGGGTGAGAGCCGCGCTCCTCGCGACCCGACGGGGCGGCCGGCGCGCACCTTGAACTGAGCGTAGTGCAGGTACTGGTAGGGTAGGCGGCTCTGGAAGTCGCGCAGCAGCTGGCGCGGCGGGTAGGGCACCTGGAAGGCGGGCAGCGAACGCTTGCAGCGCCTCAGGCAGGCGGCGCGCTCCAGGACGTGGCCGAAGAGCCGCAGCTCGCGGGCCCACTCGTCGCCGCCGTCGTGCTCGGGGGGCGCGGGGCCCGGGGGCGCGGCGGCGGGCGGCGCGGGGCCGCTGCAGTTGGCGTGGCAGAAGGCCTCGCTGTCCCGCAGCAGCCGGTGCAGCCGCAGCGCCGCCTCGAGGTAGCGCGCGCTCTCGCGCCAGCTCTCGCCCTCGTACTGCTCCAGCGCGTGCCCGTAGGCCGTGGCCAGGGGCATCAGGTCCTCCGGCGGGAAGCCCCGAAAGCTGTACTTCTCGTACTGCGCCCCGGCGCTGCCCAGCAGCAGCCACAGCAGCCCCCACGCCGCCCGAGCCATGCCCGCTCCCCGCCGGCCGGCTCTCCCAGCCGCGAGCAGGCGTCCCGGTCCCGCTGGCGGGCAGGCGGGCGGGCTCTGGGGCCCGGGCCTGGCCGGCGCGCCCGCTGGGTCTTAGCGCCGGGTACTGGGGGCGGTGGCGTGGTGAGGGGCTGCGAGGCGGGGTGTGGCTTGAGTCAGATCCCCCAAGGGACCGAGGGATCTTCACTCTTTTCAGACTGCCGACACTATTCTGAGTCCCTGACCTCCTGCCCTTGGGGGTCCTCCCCTTAGCAGACGCTGTGAGTCTGCGGAAGGCTTCCAGCAGGGATGGGGAGCCCAGAAAGCCCCTCCCACCCAAAGGCGTTCCCCCCTCGCCCCCGCCTTAAGATAGAGAAATTGAGGGAAGTGTCACCTCCCTCTAGTTTGCCCAAGCCCTGAAACCTGCTCTTCTATCCATCACAGTGGTCCTTCTGCTCACTCCCCACCCCCAGCCCCCAGGAAGTGACCCCAAGGGTACCCTCCAGCCCGCGACAGGGAGGCACATCCCTGGTTTTTACCCTGCACACCCTCCACTCTCACCACCTCCTATCCGATCCCTATCCCCACGTCAGAAAGTCCTCTGGCAGTCCAGCTTTGCAGGACAAAGCAGCTCGTTCCGGGAGCGGCTGTCCCTGGGACAGAGGGGTGGGAGGGAGCACTGAGATCGCCTCCCCGCCCCCGATTCTGGAGCCTCACCAGTCACCTGGAGAGGCCTAAATTGGGGGTTGCCTCCCAAAGAAACAAGGAATGCCTCAGCCCGGCTTTAGGACCCGGGGGGCTCCAGAAAAAAAAAAAAAAAAAAAGACTTAGGAACTTTTTAATTTTTTTCTGTCGGCTCGCTGTCTCAACTCTCCCGAACTTCCCTACCCCGCAGGCCCCAGGTCTCTCGGCCCCCGCGGAGGGCGGGGGGATGGGCGCAAATCTGGATGGCTTAGCGGTGCTTTCCTCCGACTGCAGCGGCCTGGGCCTCCTCCTCCAGTTGCACGCCTCTGGCCCCCGCCCCGCCAGCTCAACCTCCCCAGCCCCCATTCCACGTGGACCAGCCAGGGCGGGGGTGGGAATGGAGTGCAGGAAGAGGGGGAGCCAGCTCTGGGAGGAGGGGGAAGGAGTCTGGCGGCCGCCGCGCTCTCTCTCACCCTCACTGCCGGCCGTCCCAGCTCCAGGCACCATGCTCCGCGCGGGCCCCCCGAGCCACACCCTCCTCCGGCTCCCCCTGCTGCTGTTGCTGCTGCTGCTGGTGCAGGCCGTGGGGAGGGGGCTGGGCCGCGCCAGCCCGGCCGGGGGCCCCCTGGAAGATGTGGTCATCGAGAGGTACCACATCCCCAGGGTCTGTCCCCGGGAAGTGCAGATGGGGGATTTTGTGCGCTACCATTACAACGGTACTTTCGAGGACGGCAAGAAATTTGACTCGAGGTAACGACTTGGGTGCCCCCAGACTCACCATTTCTCTTCCCCGCACTTGGGGCCAGGATCTCTCAGTCTTAGGGTTCCCTTGTTGCCGCCTTTAAACTGTGTCTGCATGCGCCTCCTCACACCGCGTTCCCCCAGGCCCAAACAGCACCCTGAGTGGGAGGACTCCTAGACTTCCCTCTCCCCGGACATCTCTGCCCTCAGTTTGAAACTTTCGCCTCTCAAAAGACCTCACTTGCTTTCACACCAGCCTCCTCTGTCCCCCAAAGTGCTTGAGAATCGAGAGGAACCCAGCGTTTTATTTAAAGCAAACCAGGGGATGTCCTGGTTCATAGAGGTGGGGGAAGGGCATGGTCCCTGCTGCATGCGAATCGTCCAGGGATCACAGCCCGGGACCCTCTACCTTTCCATCCACGTTGACTCCCTTTGTGGTTCCAGCCCCAGGTTTCAGAGTGTTTAGAGAAGGAGTAAGCAGAGGTTTTCGGGGAAAGGAGTGGGAGTTTTCAGCGGGCCAGTGGGGTAAAGCAGGTGGGCCTTCTAAGACAGAAGGATGGATCAGGGAGTGCAGGGCACAGATTGGTGTGGGGACCTGTCTGTCTACGTGTCACACAGTCACACAGGCCACCCTGGGCTCCTCCGAGGGTTTTCTTGCCTCCCTCTCCGCCTGAACCCACACCCCCCCCCTCCATCTTGCCTCCACCAGGTCAGTGCTGCCGCCCATCTTGCCAGCTTTGGGGTTTGAGAAACTGGCTTCTGGTCTGGTCCAAGCCTCTGGTCTGCTCTAGCAAGTTCATTTTTCCTAGTGGGGGCAGGGCTATACACCAGGTCAGTCTGTTAAAATTAGAGTCCTGGTGGTCACACACACAAGCCCCCAAACCACACCACACCACACCACAAGAAGTCAATCGGTCCCTCTTAGAGACTTCACCAAAACACACACTTCAGCCTGCAGAAATTAGTGGCCCTGGGAACTTCCCTTGTGGTTCAGTGGCTAAGACTCCATGCTTACAATGCTGGGGGCCCAGGTTCTATCCCTGGTCAGAGAATAAGATCCCACCCAATGCAACTGAGTGTTCGCATGCCACAGCCTGCATGCTTCACCTAAGACCCAGTGTAGCCAAATTATAATTAACTAGTTAATTTTTTTAAAAAGGGCCATGGCTTTGGAGCCAGGTAGAACACAAACTCCTGAGACCAAGACCTTGAGTTCAAACCCAGACTGTAATCATGGACAAGGAGTCTTGCCTCTTTAAGCTTTACTTCCCTCATCTGAAAAATGGATATCAAAAAGCATTCTGAAAAAATGAGTCCCTACTTCCTAAGGCTGCTGTTAGGACTCAAGATGATAAATGAAAGTGAACTTCACACAGGACCTGATGGTCTGCAAGCAGCTTCAGCACACCTTAGCCTTGACTCTGGGGAGAACTCTGGTTTAACTGGTAGAAACTTCTTGCCGTGCTCAAGCTCTCATAAGGGCTCTGTGATGTGAGCAGGCCAGACATGCAACCATCTCAGTGGGCAAAATGCGGCCTGGGAAGTAGCCAGAAGTACAGTTCTGAGCCTGTGGCCACAGAGTGGAAGAAGGTTTGGGAGTTGGGGAATGACCTCCCTGCTGGGGACTCTGTTGGGCCCAGTTCGTGAAGTACTGAGTTTGGAAGACTTTCACCACTCATGACACCTTCCATCAAAATGCCAATCTCTCATCCTTCCTTAATTTTGGAAAACTTATGTTAAAACTGTAACCAAAAACAAAAGCTGTGGCAATTTTAGAATAGGCATTTTCAAAATTGAAAACCAATTCCTATCCCTGGCCAGCTCCGCTTCCCCTTCTTTTCCTCCATGAGTTGATGGTTTGGTGGCCCACATGTGGGCTGTGGAGGTCAACAGACCACACATGTGTGACCTTGGGCAAGTCACTTGGTCTCTCAAGTCTCAATTTTTCTCCTAAGAAAGATGAAATCAGTAAGGCCCATTTTGGAAATTCCCCACTGCCATGGCCAGGGTTCTGTCCCTTGTTGGGGAACTAAGAACCCACAAAGCATGTGGTGCTGCCAAAAATAATAATGATGCCCACTTCACAGGGGACAGGATTAAATAACATAATGAATGCAGAATGCCAAGCATTTTGATTCTTTCCTGGTTGTCCTCTGGTTAAGACTGCAAGCTCCCAGTGCAGGGGGAAAGGGTTTGATCCCTGGCCTGGGAACTAGGATCCTTCCATGTCCCCATGCCCCATGGTGCAACCAACAACAAAAAAGCCAGGCATTAGCATTTCTTCCTGCTGGATAACTGGTCTCCCCAACCCCAATCCCCTGCTCTGCTGCCCCCTGCCCCCTCGTGTCTGTACTTCCCACTCTGGCCTCCTCGGGGACCTCCTTTTGTCACAGCCCACCCTGTTGAGGTGGAAATTGCGGCCCACCTAGCGGGAAGGCTTGAAGAGGAGACAAGGAACCTGTGGATCGACACGTGTGTGTAGGGAGGGGGATTGTGTGTGTGTGTGTGTGTGTGTGTCTCCCTGGCACGTATGTGATCATGAGCAGAGGTCACTGCATCGCATCTGTCCCCTCCCTCCCCAGCTATGACCGCCACACCTTGGTGGCCATCGTGGTGGGCGTGGGGCGCCTCATCACCGGCATGGACCGAGGCCTCATGGGCATGTGTGTCAATGAACGCCGCCGCCTCATTGTGCCTCCGCACCTGGGCTATGGCAGCATCGGCGTGGGTGAGGAGGGCTGGGGCCCGGACCTGGGGATGGAGGAGATCAGGAGGTAGAAGCAGGGACCCTAGGACCAGAAAACGGAAGCTCAGAGAGGGAGAGTGACCTTCCAAGGTCACACTGCATGCGCAGACTGAATAGCAACAAGCCTGGGACTCATGTTTGGGTCCCCTGCCCCTGGGGTGGGAGGAAGGACAATGAAAGGCCTGGGTAGGATCCTCGCTTGACTCAGGAGAAGGGGACCTAAGGGTGGTGGAGGGCAAGGCCAAGCCCGGATGCTGAGACCTCCACTCTACCCTCTACTCTGGGGGGCTGCTTCACCCTCACAGCGGGGCTCATCCCCCCCGATGCCACCCTCTACTTTGACGTGGTCCTGCTGGATGTATGGAACAAGGAGGACACCGTGCAGGTGAGCACCTTGCTGCGCCCACCCCACTGCCCCCGGATGGTCCAGGACAGTGACTTCGTGCGCTACCACTACAACGGCACGCTGCTGGATGGCACCGCCTTCGACACCAGGTAAGGGCTGGAAGGAGCCCCGGGATCCAGGGGATTGTGGCATGCAGTGGGAGTCCGGGGCCATCCTGCCTCTCCCACCAACAGCAGCCTCACCTCTACCTCCTTCTCTGCAGCTACAGTAGGGGTGGGACTTATGACACCTACGTGGGCTCTGGCTGGCTGATCAAGGGCATGGACCAGGGGCTGCTGGGCATGTGCCCTGGAGAGAGAAGGAAGATCATCATCCCTCCATTCCTGGCCTATGGCGAGAAGGGCTATGGTGAGGATGGGCAGGGACTCTGGGATTCTCTATAAGCGGGTTTCCATGTAGAGTTGTCCAGGTTGAATACTGCATAAG